AGATTTTATAAATCATAACATGCGGTACATTACATTTTTACAGTTATATTTTAGAATAAACGCCTCCCTCTAATAAACGCCTCCTGTCTATTAAATGCCCCCCTTGGACCATTGAAATTTAATAAACGCCATCGGTGTTTATTAGATCATTTACATTAGATGTATTTCACAATCAAAGTCGACACTGAGCACCACCAGACATCATTGACCATGCATCATTACTTGCCATCATTCACCATCACCAGGCATCTGCATCATTCGCCATAATTGATCATCAATGAAAAAATAAATACCGTACATGTATATTTTGTTCATGTTTCAGGGCTGCTACACGAAGCTTAGTGCTCTCGTCAAGAACAATCTGAAAACTGTTGCTGGTGTGGCTGTAGCAATCTTAGTGATCCAGGTTAGAACTTGTCGTTAATTACGCTAAATAATCTTTACAGATGTTCTGGCGATCACGAAAGTATCGTAAATTATAGGCCTGGTATCACCCATGTTGCTTTGCGATCGTAGCCTGAATACCCAGTCCTATCATTATCAATTCATCCATTCATTGTATTAAATTTATTTTTATTTTGTTTTGCTTATTTTATCTATTTATCTGTTCAATAGATTCTCGGCATGGTTTTCGCAGTTTGCCTTATCAAAAGAATTGGACATGAAGCCTACACAAGTGCTTAAAATCTACAGTGTTTACATAATTCAACTCACGTATCCATAGACAATTTCTCAATGATCTCCGCTCAGAGTGGGTTTTATAAACCCGTGAAATACATGTACTTCATTGAGMGTATTTTGTTGGTATACAGTCAACTCTGACTCCTTTGGTTGAAATACGGCTACACTTTATTTCACGGATTTATGAAACACACTCTAATCTATTTTTCTATCACCTGCAAGTATTGTACAAGAACGTAATTGAGAAGCATTTTCACTGAATAAAGGCTGAGTAAGAGCTGTTGCTTTAAACCCTTTAAACAGTGCACTTTTAATTGAAGCAGATTA